TCTCAGAAGTCAATAGAAATCAGGTGTGGTGGGTCATGCCTTTAATCCCAGCACTCAAAGGAGACAGAGACTGTTGGATTTCTTTGAGTTCGAGGCTGGCCTGTTGTAAAAAGTGAGTTCCAGGACAGCCAGGGCTACACAGAGAAACCCTTTCTCAAAAAAACAAACAAACAAACAAACAAACAACAAAGAACAACAAAACAAAAAAGCCAATAACTGGAGAATCACAGACAAGGTAGATTGATTGATTGATTGCCTGTTTCCCTCATTTCCTTTCCTCCTTTCTTCTTGGAGCAAATGTTTCCGATCCTCGTTATGCACATTAGGCAGCAGGCTGCTACCCTCAAAGGTTTACGGTGCAATTGGGAAAACAAGACATAATTTCAAACAGATAAATCACAGCAGAAGCTCTGTCCTGAGGCCAGGGGAATTAGATAGTGTGTGCAGAGGAAGAGGCTTCTGAGGTGGTGTAAGACCTGGGGTCTCACAGCTCAGGAGTTCAAGATCACTCCCTTCCCAGAAACTCCCCCAGACCACAACTCCTTGCAAAAGCAAGAGGTTTATTAACCATTGCGCAATGGGGTCACCCCTGCCGGTCAGCAAAGAGTGTTACTGGGAGACAAAGGCCTTTAGGTTTTTAAAAGAAAAATTGCGGGAGATTTGAAGTAGCAGTTTTGGCAATTTAGGATTGGATGAGGAAGCTATGAAGTAAGATAATTGGTTAGCCTTAGGTGCTCAAGCTTGGACAGTCCTGCCAAGTGTGGATGCAGCTGCAATTTAAGGTGGGGGTGGTTAGCTCATCCTTGAAGATTAGGGGCTTCGGACTTTTGGCTGGAGGTCAAGAGCTACTCAGAAGAAGTCTGGTTCGTTGCTAAGAAACACTATCTCAAAGACAAGGGTCTGGTCCTTTTTGCTGAGTGAAGGTCATTGCTTGCTTGCCTTTTTTTTTTTTTTTTTTTTTCTGTCCTCACAGATAGGGTCACAGTTTTTCATTCTCTGGAAAGGTACTAAGAGGCTTTAGCTTAACCTGAACCTAAAACTCAAAACTATAGGCTTTAGAAGACATACAGGTTACAAAGTTAGTCTAACCCTTTCAGTGGCAAGAACTTCCTGGAGGAGGGGAGCCCCCAGCCAACACTTTAGGATGGAAAGTATTGGGAAAATCGGGTAGGAGATCATTCCAGGCAAGGTGGTCTCTCCACATAGGTAATGTTAGGATTTTGGAACAAAATCTGCTTCTGGGTTGCCTAGCAACTTATGATGTCCTCATGTGTCACCAGCCAGGTGGCCACACCTGGAAGGCGTGGTTACCTACCCCTTAAAGGGACCAGCCAGCCATGTGGTCTTTCTCTTGGTCCTCTCTTCTCTTGCTCTCTTGGTCCTTTCTCTATCGGGGCACCCCCCTTCTCTTTCTCCCCGTGATGTCCTGCTCTCCCTTCCCTCCCTCTCTTCATAGCCACCTAATAAACCTCTTGCATAGAAGATCTGTTGTGAGCCTCATCATATATTAATTGGTCCCAACAGGTAGAATGGCCTGTGGTTGAGGGAGCCTACACTGAAGAGAGTAGACAATGGGAGCTTGAGCCAGGCATTGGCTTCTCTTCTCACTGAGATGGCACAGGGACATACGGGTGCTGCGTGACAGCATAGTGGCTAATATTCACTGCCAGCTTGACAGACTTAGCATTAGAGACAAGCCTCCTGCTTGTGAAGGATTATGCAGATTAGATGGAGGCAGAAAGACCGGCCTTCACTGTGGATGGCACCATTCGAAGGGCAGGGTTCTCCATGGGTAAAATGGAGAAATGGAGCAAGCCTTCATCTTCCTCACTGGGGATGCAACAGGACCACCTTGTCTTCCACGCTACGATGAAGCCTAGAGCTGCGAACCAACATAAACCTTTTCTTCCCTAAGTTGTTTGGGTCACCTGTCATCATGGCAACAAGACTAATAAAACATAAAACCTGCATTGTTCAACAGGAGCCAGAAGAAAATCCCTGAGGCCAAGGATGAGGCATATAGCTGTGCTAAGAGGAATGTGCCTGGCCAGTGATAGCAGGACCTCGCTGGGTCTTGGGAGGGAGCCCAGAGCATCCAGCTGAGCAGAATGCTGGCTGGACGCTCAGGCTCACAGACCTGCTGGTGTAAGGGGTGCCCTGCTTTCAGTTCTGCCCTAGTTTCTCCTGGAAGACTTTGAGTCCTTCCGCTGCTACTATAGGAGAACAATCTGGGCTGTTTTTCAACCAACTGCCTTGTTTCTCCACAACCTTTAAGACCGCCAGTCTCTAAGCGTCCTTGAAAGAAATCTTGCTGAGAATACCAAGGTGTAAAGCACATACAAGCGGTGGTACACATATGAAATTCCAGCCCTTGGGAACTGGAGGCAGGAGTATCAGGGCAGGGCCACCCGTGACTCTGTCAGCAGGCCAACTAAATGAGACTCTGTCTTAAAGATGGGTGGAGTCTGACCTGGAGATGGACAAGATTTGGGACAAGAAGCCAGCTAAGTAAGTTACTGAAATCATTCAGACCTGAGTTGGTGAGAGTTAGATTCTTAGAAGAAGGAAGAAGGCCTATAAAATGCAGGAAGTAAACAAAAGCAGCCCAGGAAGCTCCTGAAACTTGCAAGAGCCACCTCTCGAAGCTCATAAAGCTGTAATGTATAAAGAGAATGAACTGGGCAGCCGCCTGTGGGTGCAGGAGTCTCTGGAAGTACAGCATTCTTGCGTTGTCATTCATGCTAGGGTGGTTTCTTGGTGATACAACTGCCTTTGAGTTATTATGTCCCTATAAGTAACCCCAGCAAGCTCACTGGCTCTCTAAGTTATAGTCAGGTGGAATTTGTTCTTTGGTCTGTCATCAGTCCCTTGTCTGGGGTGAATAACTGTTCATGTCTCCCCAAGAAAAGTTAGACCACAATCGGATTCAAGAATCATTCCTAGGGCATGGTGGTGACTCAGTGCTCTCTCAGAAGACCTGAGTTCTGCTCCCAACCATGATGTCTGGGGGTTCATAATCACCTGTAACTCTAGTTCCAGGGGATTCGACAACCGACACCCTCTTCTGGTATCTTTGGGCACCCGCATACGTGGCATGTACTTACATAAAGACATGCACTCACTGATAAAAATAAAACTAAGTTTTAAAAAATGAAAGGAAGAGGGGTTGGGGATTTAGCTCAGTAGTAGAGCGCTTGCCTAGCAAGAGCAAGGCCCTGGGTTTGGTCCTCAGCTCTGGAAAAAAAAAAAAAAGACAAAATAACAAAAAATGAAAGGAAGAAACATTCCCAAGGTGACATTCGCCCATAACCCGAGCACTTTGGGGGCTGAGATTGGAAGGTAACACCTGTAAAATAAAAATAAATAAAACCTAGCTGGGTGTGGTGGCATACACCTTTAATCCTCAGGAGACAGAGGCAGGTGGATCTTTATAAGTTCAAGACCAGCCTGATCAACATAACGCATTCCAGGACAGCCAGAACTATGTAGAGAGACCCCGGCTCAAAACTAACTAAATAAATAAGAAGTGCTTTAAATATAAATACAAGTTCTCTCTTGGAAGAGAATCTTGGTTCAAAATTTAAGAGTTAGCCACCTACTGATAGACGTGAGGAGAGCAGAGAAAGGGCATGATGAAAAAGGAAAAAGCTTGAGTCAGAAGTCTTAGTGTTTCACGATTTCCTTTTCACTTGTTTTTTCTTCAAAGGTGCCATCATCACTACCTTCACCAAGTGAATAAATATACATTTGTTTATATGTTTACACATATGCACTCATGTAAAAACAAAGTGAAAGAGGCCACGGATTTGAAAGAAAACAGGCTGGGTATATGGGAGTCCTAGGAGGAGGAAAGGGAAGGGGGAAGTGACATATTATGTTTTAATCTCAAAAAAATTTTCAAAGGCCTTATGACTATACATCATTTTGGGGTGAGGCAAAAAAAAAAATCTCAAAAACCTTTGTCCATTCCTTTTGTGTTGGCCATCTTCTGCCGGGCACGGAGCCTGCCCTTAAGTGTGGTTTGTATGCCCAGTGAGACTCCCTTGGAGAAACTAATTTTTCCTTTGTGAGTGGTTGGGGATGGGAGCGCATGTCCGTTTTTCCATCTCAGCACGGGCCCAATAGAGCCAAGAAGCTGATGGTACTGACAGCCTACAGTGCAAGTTCCATTAAAAACAAACAAAACCTTTCCTTTCTTTTTCTTCCTTCTGCCCTTGTTTTATTTGTTTGCAACAGGGTCTCACGAAACCCAGGGCAGCCCCAAACCTGCTATTTGGCACAGGGCGACCTTCAAGAACTCTGATCCTCTCGATCCAGCCTCTCCAGGTGTGTGCCACCACGGCCAGCTTTCTTTTCATTTATTTATTTACTTAATTTTTGAAAAGCACAGTACCCGTAAAAGATGACTGATACAGACTGGCTGGGTAGAGAGAAACAAAGACCAATGTATGGACGACCCTCTTTTCTTTCATGGTTTTTCGAGACAGGGCTTCTCTGTGTAGCCTTGGCTGTCCTGGACTGGCTTTGTAGACCAGGCTGGTCTCGAACTCACAAGAGATCCGTCCGCTTCTGCCTCCCAGAGTGCTGGGATTTACAAGCGCCCGGCTTGGCATGACCCTTCTAAAGTGGACTAGTCCCCTTTCCAATTAAAACCAACTTCTGCCCCAAGCTGATCCTTGGACAGAAGCGTGTAGGAGGGTTCCTGGAAGAGCCGACCGGGACGCCCAGCTGCGGTGCTCACCCACCAGAGCGGGAGCATCGGGGAGCACGCTGAGCTATCTCGCAGACCTTCGCAGGCTGCACCCGCGTGGCGGCGGCCCTGCAGGTCCGCGTCCCATCCCCCACCCGGCGCCCCCCGCCGCGGCAGTTCCTTCTAAGCCGCCTGCTGAGTCGCTGAGAGGCGAGCTCTCCATGTGACTTCAGTTTCCGTCGGTTCCTTCCGCAAGTGCTAAAATAATCTGATGCCCCAGAGCGAGTAGGCAGCGCGGGCCGCGGCGACGGCTGTCCTGGAGGCCCGGGGGCCCCGGGAGACGATGCGCCCCGCCGAGCCGCCTGGGCCTGCGCGAGCCGTGAGTACTTCGCGCGTGGGCTCGCCGCCGCCGAGCACAGCCGGGCTCCTCGAGGTGAGCGAGTCGGGGGACCGGTGGGTTGGGTGTGGGGGGGTCGGGGGTCAGGCAGCGTCCGCCCCACCCCTCCCCACCCCGCGCTCGCTCACACTCAGGCTCGTCGCGAAGTGGGGTCTGTGGGATCCAGACTTCCCCGCCCCTGGGCTGGATTCGGGGGCTACAGCTCTGGTGTCGGTGGAAGTCCGCCCCGCAGAAGGTCTTCGAGAGCCGAGGGAGGAGGTGTGGATGGGGGAGAGGCAGCCAAGGCTTTGAGTCCTGCCTCCGCGCGGGGGATGCGAACAGGTGCGTGAACGGTTCGCCTCCGTTCTCGCGTCTGCACAATGGGGAGCGCTCCCCTGCCTAGTCTGGGTGGCCGGACGTCACGAGGGGACGCTGGGGGACTCCCGGCGTGCGGGCGTTTGCATCGTCTCCCTTGCCCCTGGACAGAAATCGAGACCCGTGGAGACTCATCATCTACAGTTGCACATTCGTAGCGGGGTCTTCCCAGGGTCAGCTGTGTATGTTCAGCCAGGAGACAGAAAAAAAAAAAAAAAAAAAAAAGGCAAAAAAAGCCTGCGTCTACTAGGATGTTACTCTGGCCCACAGCCACCCAAGTGTCATAGTTGGGGGACTAGAGCCAGGCCCTCCTGACTCCTGTCCAGTGCTCGGCTGCAGTCCTCTTAGCCTCACCGGGGCACAGACACACACCCATGTACCCACGCGCTCCCAGGAGCTGGGCAGGAAGAAGCGTCACCCTCACAGCGGTTGCTGCCTCCACGCGTTACTCCGCCGAGATGAAGGTGAACACGTGCCCCGCTGTGGCTAGGGTCGGACCAGACTTTTTGCTGTTGGCTGAGGTACAACGGCTATTTGCAAGGAGGCAGGTGTCTGGAGCGTTAATAGCCTGGGAACCCCCCTTCCCCCCTCCACCAGACTGTATACGTGAACCCCAGAGTTCCTAGAGGGGGCTCTAGATTCATGGTGGGGGACCCTCAACACCTAGGTTAAACACAAAGGCAGCCTCACAGAGAAGGTGCCTTCATTTGGTGGGTCCCTCGAGGGAGCTCCGTGGGCTCTCACACACCCCATCCGGCCGTCTTGGAATGTATCGCCCTATGGCTCATAAGCCGCCATCTGAGAGCCACAGGAGCCTACCAAAGAGAGAGGACTCCCAGGGTCTATGTCCTGAGGGCCTGTCCCTTTGTCCTTCAGACTGGAAAAGATCCAGCACAGATCCCAAGCTGCCTTTGGATAGTTGATGGCCCAGCTCATGCTACATCCGTGTGGTAGCCACGTATGTCGGCAAAGAGTGAGTTTGCCGAGCACACCCAAAGGCGCTGATCATCTTTCCCAGGACCTGCCAGACCATCACACAGGTGTCACAGGTGTCGCCAGCTCCTGTTCATGGGTCATTTCAGTGACAAGTTCATTTATATATGCATCTGTCTCTGCCCTTGCTGGAATCTGTTTACTCCTTTCCCTCCAAACCATTCTTTTGAGCTTCCTTCCTGAACAAAAGTCGAGTGTGCAATCTGTGACAGGCTCCCGGACAGGTTAGTCAGTGCTCTTTCTGAAAGCTTGAAAGCTTGGAGAGGCAAAAAAGAAATACAAAAATAAAAAACCAAAACAAAAATGGACCGTAATCCTTCTATCTCATAGAGCCTCATGCACAACTGTGAGCCTGATTTCAAGGATCTATAAGATGGGACCGTTTTTTATTATTTATTTGTTGTTTTTGGTGGCATGGGGGATTGAACCCAGGGATGGGCCCATGCTAGGCCAAGGCCCTGCCGCCGAGTTACATACCTGTCTAACCCAAGACAGGATTATTTAAACGGCAGATGACAAAACCCAACAGAAAAAGGCCTCTTCACGAAATGACTTGTTATATCATACAGCTGAAAAGTCGAAAGGCAGTTGCTTCAGGCATGACTGGGTCCAGGTCTCAAAGACGCCACCAAGAATCCATCTGTCCTCATCTGGCTTGGCTTTGCCCTTACTGGGCGGGCCCTGGAGACAGAGACAAAAGCTACCTTTAGGTCCCAAATTAATCCCCATCAGTGTGACAGGTAAGGCAGGAGAAAAGGCGTTTCTTTTCTCCTTAGTGATATAGCTGTTCTGGATTGATTCTCAGGAACTGTACTGTGTCGAATATAAGCCAATCACTCTGGCTAGGAACCCAGCAGGTTGTAACGGGGCCAGCATCTTCATAGTCCCCACGGCTGGAGTTAGGAGTTGAGTTCAGACCTAAAAACAAAATCCAAAGAAACGAAAACTGAACTCCTTAAGGCGTGGTTTGGTTGAACAGTGGAATGTGCTCCCCTCTACCTAACCACACGCCTAAAAATTGTTACGGAGATTCAGTCTATGTGATAAAACAGAGAAAGGGAGGGAGGGAGTATGTGTATGTGTTTCCCCAAAAAACAACCAGGCGGCTGTTACCAGAGGCGGGAGAAACGAATGTGGGTAGACAGAACTTTCCTGGACAAACAGAACTGGGGGCTGAGACCGAACGTTATCTGTCTTCAGTGACTTCAGCCTCAGCAGAGGGTACAAAGGAGGAAGTAGGAACTTTGCCCTGATTCTCACCAGTGAGGTGGGCACAAAGAACAAGGCTGGGACCCATGATGGGCTCTGCGTGGCCACAGAGTTCTGTGAGGTCCCTGGGGACTCCCCTCCTTCAGCCCCAACCCCCACACTTACCGCAGTCAGGCACTGCACTTGGGCTTGCCCGCTGCGCTACTGCTGCCTGCTCTCACCTCTAAGAAAGATAACGATCCGGAGGGGATTTCTCCTTGGGAGACAGCATTTTTTATGCAACCTTTTCTCAGTGAGTTCTAGATAGCTGGGACAGCCCTGGCCTCCCCTAGTCTTTCCTCATCTCCCTGCCTGGCCTGGGCTCACTTCTTTTGACTTCGTGCAAGTTGATGGTCCCCAAGGCACTTGAAAGCCCACATGGGACTGCCCCCAATGGCTTTCCTCTTGCTCTGGTTATTGGCTCCTTCTTCTAGTCCTTAAATGGAGGCTTCCGTTTTAGCTAATGATCTTGGCTTGTTTCTTTCTAACTTCCAGAGCTTCAAGGCCCTCCAGCTCCTAGCTCATCCCCACCGAAGACAAGGATGCTAGTCAGAATAGCAATAATGAATGCTCTAGATAGAAACGGGACTCTAAGAGTCACACGGCACGCTCCTTGGCTGCTGAATTATAGCGTCACCCTGAGAGTTCTAAGGGAGCAGCCAGTTATCTGGCATAGACACTCCTGGCTACTCATCCACAAATACGTATCGACCTGTGCGTCCTCGCTGAACATTTAAGCGACAGACACTCCCCCAGCAGCACCTACTACCTGAACTGAAGACAGCTCTGGCATGGGTTTAATCTACAAGACCTGAGTCACCATGAGTTTTCTATGGCCTTTTTTGAAATGTGGATTTTTGTTTGTTTTGTTTTTCAAGACAGGGTTTCTCTGTGTAGACCAGGCTGGCCTGGAACTCACAGAGATCCACCTGCCTCTGCCTCCCCAGTGCTGGGATTAAAGGCGTGTGCCACTGAGCATGGCACGAATAGGAACGTTTTAATTTCCCTTTTAAATTTACTTCTGAGACAGGACCTCGCTTTGTAGCCTAGGCTGGCCTGGAGTCGGTGTAGCCCCTGTCGTAAGTTGGTCTCAAACTTACGATGAGGCTCACGCCTCAGCCTCCTCGCTGTTGGTGTTTATTTAGCTAATGTGCCTAAGCAGAGGCCAGAAGATGTCGTCGGATCCCTTGGGACTGGAGTCAGCAGTGGTTGTGAGCCGCCACGTGGTTGCTGGGAATCAAACTCGGTTCCTCTGGAAGAGCAGTCAGGGCTCGTAACTGCTGAGCCATCGTTGCAGCAACCACCAGCCCTTACAGCAGTGCTTACAGAGTTAAATTATTTTATAGGCGTTCTGAAGTATTTTGAGAGAGGTGACCATGCTGTGTGCTTGCTTGTTTGCTTGCTGCTGCTGCCTGAACTCAAGTCCTTGTGCGTGCCAGGTCCTTGCTTTTCTGGCGATCTGTCTCCCGCCTCTTTAAAGTTTTGTTTTGAGAGCAGTTCATGAAATTGCCCAGGCTGACCTCAAATTCACCATCTTCCTGCCTCAGCCTCCTGAATATTGGGATTAGAAATACTTCACCATGCCCATCGAGCTGGCATTTCAACAAATATTTAATTTTACCTGTATTTGTATATGTGTGAAAGTATGTATCTGCATCTTATACACCCAGGAGCCTGTAACAGCAGAAGAGGGCATCAGATCCTGTGGAACTGTAGCTTCAGGCAGTTGTGACCCTCCATATGGGTGCTGGGAACTGAACCCAGCTTCTCTGCAAGAGCATCAAGTGCTTTTAACCAGTGAGGCATCTCTCTTCTCTCCATCTATTTGTGCTGGGGTTTGGTTGGTTGGTTTGGTTTGGTTTTATTGCTTTTTAAGTGTGCTTGTGCATACGTGCATGCCTGTGTGTGCGTGTGTGTGTGTGTGTGTGTGTGTGTGTGTGTGCGTACATGCAGGTACCTGTGGAGACCAGGGGCAGGGAATGCTCTGGAACTGGAGATGCTGTAGGCCACCAGATGTGGGTGATGGGAACCAAATTTTGGTCCTCTGGAAGAGCATTTCATAAAAAGAGGACCACAGGAAGGGTCTTTCCTGCAGAGGAAACAGCTTGTGAAATGTGTGATTCAGCTGAGGACCACATGCGTCCCAGGGTGGCTTGGGGTTTGTGGTATTGAGGCTGAGTTGGTGCAGAACTCACAAGTTTGGGCTTGAACTGATGCTCTCCGTTCTGCAGGCATTTGACCACACTCTTGTGTGTGCTCAGGTCCCGCAGGGAGGCCAGCATTTCTACCAAACTGCACAACGGTTAGTCCCTGTCAGTTGCTGATCCTTTGTGTCTTCTCAAAAACAAAAACAAAAACAAAAACAAAACAAAACAAAACAAAAAAACATGTTGGAGAGTCAGTATTTTCATTCCCACTCCAGGTTAAAATTAGCCTCACTT